TGTTCCTTATGCTAGTGCAGTTGGGAGTCTTATGTATGCTATGATTGGTTCGAGACCAGACCTAGCGTATGCTGTTGGGGTTGTTAGCCGGTTTATGACAAGTCCAAGCAGAGAACATTGGTCAGCTGTTAAGTGGGTTCTCAGGTATCTTTCAGGAGCATCTAAAGCGTGTCTTACGTTCGTTAAGGGTTCAAGTTTTAACATTGAAGGGTTCTGTGATTCGGATTATGCCACAGACCTTGACAAAAGGAGATCTCTGACTGGGTTCGTGTTTAAAGTTTGGGGAAATTCAGTCAGTTGGAGATCAAACCTACAATCAGTTGTGGCGTTATCAACAACAGAAGCAGAGTATATGGCCCTCTCATCAGCTGTGAGAGAAGCAATTGGTTAAATGGAATTTGTGGTGAATTGGGTTTCAGTTCGGGAGGTGTTAAGATACACTGTGATTCACAGAGTGCTTTGGCGCTTGCAAAGAACTCAGTTCATCACGAGCGTACGAAACACATTGCTACTAAGTATCATTTTATACGGGATATAGTGGCAGATGGTGATATAGTTCTCTACAAGATTCACACGAGTAAAAATCCAGCAGACTTTCTAACTAAAGCCTTACCTGGGCCTAAGTTCCAACTCTGCTGTGATCTCGTAAACGTCGTCTGAAGACGGGTCGAGTCCGGGTAACTCCACCATCAGAGTTGCTCGCATGCATCAAGGTAAACAGTTTTGAATTAGTTTACACTGATGATTCTGATGTGTTGCTTAAAGGAATTTAAAAGGAGAAGGGAAGAGAGTTACCCGTGAGCGTGTGAACTGGAGAAACGGAAGTTCTTCGGTTCAAGGTGGAGCATCTGTGTAAGAGGTAAGAAAGACAATCAGGATCGTCGTTCTTAAACTCGTATACAGAGGTAAAAAGGAAGACATGCGAGAAGTGAATAGATCTGAAGGTTTCATGAGTTACCTTATGGTTATTCACGCGGCGAAGGTCCAGGATCGGGTCTTCGGGGATCTGAAAAGACATGCAAGACCAGGGCTCTGTGAGTTTTTCCAGGAAGTCGAATCGAGAGGAAGCAGATCTGTCGGAGAAATCAGTCGGTTTGAGAAAGGTTTCAACCGGAGCAGGTCGTGGTTTCGGACTCTCAGTTCGAGAGAAGTGGAAGAGAGGAATTAGGGTTTGGTCGGCGAGTATCTAGGTGTTATGTCTGAAAGGTGGAGTTTTGTTAGATGAGCTGGGTTCAGTCAAACACTAGACTGGGCCGGAGGCCCACGAGACTTCACGATTGGGCCTATATCCTAAAAGGGCCGGTAACTGTTTAATTCCGAGGTCGTCTTCTTCTTCACGAGAGCTGCACAAGGAACAGAGAGAGAGTTCAGTCTGTTATAGAGAGAGAAAGCTGAGATACAGTAGAGAGAGAGAGTGATGAGAGCTTACGGTGTTAAGGCGGTGTTCCGGTGGAAAGATTCCGGTCCCGATCATCTTCTTCCTTTTATTCTTTAAGCTTGTCTCTGTCAAGATTGTAAAGCACCTTCGGGCATCTCTTTGTAAACGATTCGATAGTGGAAGCAGTTGAAGGATCCCGTTCCCTCCTCAGAGACGTAGCCATATCGGTGAACTCTGGGTAAACAAATCGCGTTGTGTCTTTAATTGCTTATCTGAATTTACCTGCGAATTCAATATTCCTAGATTAGAATCTCTACAATAAAGTTTGTCAAACTTATCTCAAACCATCTTCCCAGCTTGTTAGCAACATGTAGTCACACTTAAATATTATATTTAGTTGATTGTTGTTACGAACATACTCTTTTTTGAAAATTGGATAAAATTTGCTTACGCAAGCCGTCAAAATAGAAGATATAATCATTCTCTTTGAGAAAAAAGAAGTTTAATTAGCATCTTAGAACAATAACCAAATATTAGCCCTCTATTGTTTTTCTTTTTAAGGAAATGGTGGTCCTTACCGTTGCTTAGTCGGCTTGTCTTCTGGACCGGGTTATCGCATAACAAGATTTATAGCACATCTCGAGGATAAATCTCGTATTATATTATCCATTTTGATCCTGAAGTGAATACTTCTTAGTTCTTATTGGCCCTCGAACCTTCAAGTGTTGGTGGTTTGGAATGGCCAAGAGTCCACGATTCTCATCATCTTTGATTTGCTTTTCAATTCTTAACTCTTTAAAATATATTTTGATTTTTTTTTTTAGTATTTTGTTTATACGAGCTATTTGTTTAGCCTTATACTGTGTTAAAGATAATACAGCTTGGAAATCACGAACTTGAATAAAATATAATCAAACTATCACTCTCTCACACACATTCTCATTTTAGAACAAATTAAGAACCAATTCTTATTTGTTATTAATTTTTTTTTTCAAAAGTTGCTAACTAATAGATCCATAACTTCTATTTTTCTTTGCTAACCCAATAATTTTCAGGACTCTAAGAAGAGGTGGAATATTGGGAGGCTTCAAACCAACCAGCAATCTATATACTTATTTGTGTAGTGATTTGCTTACGTGTCGTGCTCACATCGAGTTTAATAGTCTTTTGTTTATGTATCAGCTCTAAAATGAGTTTCGGCTGTAAAAAAACTAATTAGCCCCAATTTGTAATTACATGTCATTTTTTTATTGATTCTTATGTGATGATGTATTAAAAAAAACTTAAAACAACCCAGTCTAAATTATTATGGTTTAATGTTTAATTCCAAAGTCAAATCAAACTATTTTTAAAATTATATAAAACCAAAATCTAGAAAAAATTAACAAAAACCTTTTTTTAAAAAAAAAACAAAAAATGAAATCTATATCTCTTATGGAATGGTGTATAAAGCCAATCGACCAGATCTAGGTTAGTGTTCTCGATAATTATGATATATAGTTTAGTGTTTATCATTTCTTGTGTTTCCAAATTTTAGAAAAAAAATCTAACAAAAATTAAAAGAAACAAAAATAGAATTTATTCAAAAAGTAATGGATTGACGTTTCAAAACAAAAGAAATAAAAATTTAAAAGAATTATCTAATAAAAAAAAGAATCTATATATATAACTAATGGAATGTCGTTTAAAAAAAAAAGAAAATCATCTCTAACTAATGGAATACCGTTAATTATTATGATAGATAGATTAATGTTTACAATTTCTTATGTTTATAAAGTTTTTGATTTCTTATGATTTAGTATAAATATCAGCCACTTTTATCTAATTCTCTCCCAACTTTCAAAATTTTCTAACCTATTCCTTCATTTTCGTTAAAACTAAAAACTCATGGAGTACTGTTGGGATCGGTTTCACCCCAATCGGTTTAAACCACCTCAGGAATATCAGAGAGCCGATTTTGCAAGGAGAACCAGCGATCCATTAAGTATGGGCCGAGCCGCGCATGGGAGGAGTAGGCCAAGCTGTAAACGGGCCGAGCCGTGAGGAGGAAGTAAGTGAACCGAGCCTCGTGAAGAATATTCAAATGGGCCGAGCCGTGCATAAAAGAAGATGGGCCGAGCTGCGCACAAGAGAAAGTGGGCCGAGCCGGAAGATGCGAGCCTACTGAAACCCTAGGCAAAAGCGTTATGACGGTGGCCGCACGACAAGATAAGGGAATATTCCAAAAATCTCTCCCGAGATTTTCAGGAGAAGCGGTTTAGAGAGTTAGTATAAATAAGCGATTTACATGATTCATTATGTAACTTTTCACAACTTGAGAGAAATAAGACCTAAATACTTTTCAGCAAAAACCTTCTTTTGATCTTACTGTTCTTGCGATTACCCTAGAAATTTTAGATCCCTAAATTTTTCCTTACAAATTTTTGGTTGTGCGAGTTTTGGCTCACACAATTTGGCGCCGACTGTGGGGAATCGAAACTTTCTTACTCTAAATCGACAAGACTTTAAGATCCAAAGAACATGGCGAGCAACACCCTCGACGATAACAACAACAACAACGACAACAGCGCGGAGAAGGACGCCCCAGCATCGGGCACAACGACGGCGAAAACTGAAACCCAAGAGGAGATGCGAAACATGATGGCTGCGTTGATGAAGAAGATCGACGAGCAGGACAGAAGGAACGAGGCGATTACGGAAAGGCTCGACGCAATAACGGCCGAGCGACGACACCCGACTTGGAGAGCCGGAATCTCCGACCCGATGGATGGAATCCGGAGACGCTTCGATTTCTCAACGCCTGCAGAAGCCTCGGGGAGCGGCGCAAGAAACCCCTTGGCTCCACCAGTGTTTTGCCCCCTCGGCGAACAGACCCCCACGGCAACCCAAGTCAACATGACCGAGCCGCCTTCACTCCATCGGAACTCAAGGCGACGAGCCGACGAAGAGGAGAATGGCGTGATCGACGTGGACGCCCAACAGAACGGCTCGGCTCGGAGAATAAGCCAAGAAGAGCTCGACTCGTCACTAAACGGCATCCGAACTGATGAAGTCACCGACCCGGTTCGCCACGGCGACCCGACTGAAGAAGAGGAAAACCTCCAATGGATCGAGCAGACAGAGCGCGAAGACGAGCCGAGGAGAGAAGAGCGGGAGCGGCCTCGCCAATCGAAGGGAATGACTCACGCACAAACCCTCGAAATCAAAGAACTGCAAGCCTCAATGGCTCGGACGGTGGCCGAGATACACGCCATGAAGTCTCAAGTGCATAACGCGACGAGTGCCGCACCCGAGATCGATCGAATGCTCGAAGAAACCCAGAGAACACCATTCATGGCGAGAATCACGAAAGCTAGGATCCCCGAGCCTGGGAAGGTGAGAATCCCATTCTACGAAGGAACGACCGACCCGAAGGCGCACATCACAGCATTCCGGATAGCAATGGGATGAGCTTTCACAAAGAACGCTGCCAATCTGACCGAGCGGGAAGTAGATGCCGGATATTGCCTACTTTTCGTAGAACATCTCAAGGGAACCGCGCTCAAATGGTTTTTTGAGACAGGAGCGCAATTCAATCGGCAGTTTCTAACAGCTCTCCGCTTTGTTCCTTAAGCAATACTCGATGTTCATGGATAGAGGAACTTCTGATGCCGACCTGTGGACGTTATCCCAAGGACCGAATGAACCGCTCCGGGATTACATGGCAAGGTTCAAGGCGACCATGTCCAAAGTAGAAGGAATAAGCGACAAGGCTGCACTCGAAGCTCTGAAGCGGTCCTTGTGGTACAAATCCAAATTCCGACGGGAAATGGCCCTCAACACGCCACAAACGATTCAAGATGCCTTGCATCGGTCGTCAGACTTCGTCGTAAACAAAGAAGAAATGAAGAATCTGGATGAACAATACGAAGCAACGAAAGCAGCGATCCGGAGCTCAATTTTGACGCGCCCCGCGAAGAAAGGTAATCCATCACACAACGCAACAACGCAAAGCTCGGACGAACCAAGAAGCAGAGGTGCCCACAATTACCAAGTAGGCACTAGACGCAGAAGAGGAGAGCTGTGCAGCAAAAACTTGGGTAAGAGGACCCACCAACTACGACGAAAAGGCGTTCTGCGAGTATCACCAGCACAATGCCGAACTCTAGGAGCAAAACTCGCGGCTAAGATGGCAACGGGAGAGCTCCAGAACGCGGTGAATCTCAAAGACCTCATCCCTAATGAGCCAAAAGAGGGAACCGAGCCGAGCGGCACGGCAGAACCCAGAAATCCTCCCCGACGAGGCGATAACACCAAGCGCGACAGGAGAGGTGAACCCGAAGAACGACCCGAGCCGAGGCAAAGAATCAACATGATCATGGGTGGCTCCCAATACTACCAAGACACAGTGTCTTCCATTAAGGCTTACCAGCGCCGAGCCGAAGCGAAGGAAAATTGGACGGAGCCGACCGATATTCCGAACACGATGATCTCCTTCGCCAAAGAGGAAACGGCAGGGATAGATAGACCACACAATGATCCACTAGTGATCGAATTGACGATCAGAGACCACGACGTAGCAAGAGTACTCATCGACACCGGGAGCTCGGTAGATGTTATTTTCAGGGAGACACTCAGAAGGATGGGAATCGATCTCTCCGAGGTGACAGCGATCCCCAAACCTCTAACCGGATTTTCAGGAGAAACGACAATAACTATGGGCACAATAGTCTCCCTGTGGTAGCCGGTGGAGTCACTAGGATCCTCGAATTCTGTGTCACCGATCACCCTGCAATCTACAATGTGATTATGGGAACTCCGTGGATCAACGCGATGAGGGCGATCCCTTCAACCTATCACCTCTGCCTCAAATTCCCAACCCCAACAGGCATTAAAATGATTTGGGGAAGGCAGAAGGAGTCGCGAATGTGTTGCCTGGCGGAGCATAAGTTGAGGAACCCCGTTACCGATGCACGAGCAGATGTAGATCGCAAAAAGCTAAAGACGGACCGAGAGCCTGCGAACGAGCTCTCGAAACTCTTATAGCAATTAAAGATTGCGGAGAGCCGCAAAATGCGCGCCGAGCCGGCATGTGATGCGGTGGACTCGGTGTGTATAGACGAGGCATGTCCAGAACGACGAGTTGAAATCGGAACTAAGCTAGAAGAGCCTCTAAGAAGCGAGCTTCTGTCCCTCCTCAAGGAGAATATCGACACTTTCGCATGGACCCCACCTTCAAACAAATTAAGCAAAAAAGGAGGAAGCTCGGACCCGAACGAGCTAAAGCAGTTTACGACGAAGTGGAGAGATTGCTCAAAGTAGGATCAATCGCCGAGGCCAAATACCTGGACTGGCTCGCGAATCCGGTGGTTGTGAAGAAGAAGAACGGCAAGTGGCGGGTCTGTGTAGACTTCATCGACCTCAACAAGGCGTCCCCAAAAGACAGTTTCCCACTACCACACATCGACTGGCTCGTCGAAGCCAGTGCGGGAAACAAGTTGTTAACATTTATGGACGCGTTTTCTGGTTACAACCAAATCCTGATGCATCCCAACGACCAGAAAAAAAACGGCGTTCATAACCGATCGCGGGGTATACTGCTACAAAGTCATGCCGTTCGGACTCAAGAACGCAGGGGCAACATATCAGCGGCTTGTAAATAAAATGTTCGCAGATCAGCGGCTTGTAAATAAAATGTTCGCAGATCAGCTTGGAAAAACCATGGAGGTTTACATCGATGACATGTTGAGGAAGACCATGCCGCGCACCTACGAGAATGCTTCGAGCAGTTAAACAAACACAACATGAAACTAAACCCGGTGAAGTTCAGATTCGCGGTTACCTCGGGAGAGTTCCTCGGCTACCTGGTAACTCACCGAGGCATCGAAGCAAATCCTAAGCAGATCAACGCATTAATCGAGATGCCCTCTCCAAGGACGAAGCGAGAAGTTCAAAGGCTCACAGGAAGGGTCGCTGTACTAAACAGATTTATTTCCCGCTCCACCGACAAGTGCCTGCCTTTCTACGACACCCTTCGAGGAAATAAGAAGTTCGAGTGGGACGAGCGATGCGATACAGCTTTCCAGGAGTTAAGGAGTTATCTGGCGAGCCCGCCGATCTTGGCGAAACCAGTTGAAGGAGAGCCCCTCTTCCTCTACATCGCCGTATCTGTTACGGCTGTGAGTGGGGTGTTGATAAGGGAAGAGCAATCCGAGCAAAAACTCATCTTCTACGTCAGCCAGACACTGACCGATGCTGAGACCCATTACCCCCAGATCGAGAAGGTTGCCCTAGCCATTGTAGTATCAGCTCGCGAGCCGCGTCCGTATTTTCAATCACATTCGATCGTTGTGCTCGCTACACTTCCGCTGCGTTTGATCCTGCACAGCCTGAGCCAATTCGGGCGGCTCGCCAAATGGGCCATAGAGTTGAGCGAGTACGATATCGAATATCAGAATAGGTCGTCTGCGAAATCACAAGTGCTCGCAGATTTTCTCATCGAACTTCCGGCCGAGGCGACGACCAAGCCAACCCCAAACGAAGTATGGACGCTGCACGTCGACGGCTCGTCATCTAAACACGGGTCGGGAATAGAAATCCGTCTCACCTCTCCCACCGGGGAAATATTGGAGCAGTCTTTTCGTCTGAACTTCCACGCCTCGAACAACAAAGCACAATACGAAGTACTAATCGCTGGCATACGATTGACACAGGGAATCGGAGTTCAAAAGATAAGAGCCTTTTGCTATTCACAGCTTGTAGCATGCCAATTCAACGGAGAGTACGAGGCGAAGGATGGACGAATGGGAGCTTACCTCAAAGTGGTCCAAGATTTGGTGCAAAAGTTCGACGAGTTTGAGCTCACACGAATACCCCGAGGTGAAAACACCTCGGCATATGCCTTGGCAGCACTTGCTTCGACTTCAGACCCAGACCTCCGACGAACAATTCTAGTCAAATTCATCGAACGTCCTAGCATCGCAGAAGTAGAAGGAGTTCGGCGGATAAATCCTCCTGAGCAGGAACCAGAGAGCGGCGAAAAAAGCCCTATGGATGAAGACGCCTCACCAGCCGAGCTGGAGTACGGCTGCGACCAAGAATGGCTCGGAGCCATCCGAGTATATATCGCCAATGAAGAAGTACCATCCGACAAGTGGGAAGCCCGCAAATTAAAAGCTCAGGCCGCGCGATATGTCCTCGTCGACGACGAGATGTTTAAATGGAGATTTTTAGGACCGCTCATAACATGCGTCGAGAGACCGAAGGCAAGAAAAATAATGCACGAAGTGCACAGCGGCGCGTGCGGAAACTATTCTAGCGGAAGGTCACTCGCGATCAAGATAAAACGGCACGGTTACTTCTGGTCTACGATGGTCAAGGACTGCGAGAGGTTTACGGCGAAGTGCGAGAAATGTCAATGGCACGCGCCTACAATCCACCAACCTACCGAGCTGCTGTCATCGATCTCATCACCTTATCTTTTCATGAGATGGTCGATGAATATAGTCGGACCTCTACATCGATCGAAGCAGAAGCGCTTTCTGCTCGTCCTCACGGATTATTTTTCTAAGTGGGTCGAGGCCGATTCCTACGCGAGCATAAATGACGCTCAAGTCGAAAACTTCGTCTGGGAAAACATCATCTGCCGACATGGGGTCCCCTACGAGATAGTCACCGATAACGGATCCCAGTTCATCTCAACGCGCTTTGAAGCTTTCTGCGAGAAATGGAAAATTCGTTTGAGCAAATCTACGCCAAGTTATCCCCAAAGGAACGGACAAGCCGAAGCAGCCAACAAGACAATCCTAGACGATCTAAAAAAGAGGCTTGACGCCAAGAAAGGACGATGGGCAGACGAGCTCGAAGGAGTCATTTGGTCGCATCGGACAACTCCGCGCCGAGGTACTGGAGAAACTCCATTCGCTCTAGTCTATTAGGCAGAATGCGTAATTCCCCTCGAGGTGGATTGCCCAGGTATTCGACAAAGACTTCTGCCAGGACAGGAGGGCTTGAATCACTTAATGATGCTGGACGAGCTCGATTTGGTCAACGAAAGGCGCGACCAAGCTCTAATCCGAATCCAAATTTACTAACAAGCAACGGCGAGGTACTACAACAAAAATGTCCGAAGTCAAAGATTTAAAGAAGAATGCGGGAAAGCTCGGAGCAAATTGGGAAGGTCCTTACAAGATTACAAAAGTAGTTCGCCCAGGAGTCTACGAACTTGCGACGGTAGCTGACGAAGCAATTCCAAGATCGTGGAATGCAATGCATCTGAAGAAGTATTATCACTAAGGCTACAACACGCTCAACATGAAATACAGGACGACTTGATCCCTGCAAAGGGTACGTAGGCAGCCCGTCCTCGGACGGGTTCAGCTGTCCCCCCTCCTAAAAAGGGGGGGGGGGGAAGTGGGTACGTATACACATACCTTCCTTAACTCTACAATTTTGGCTCGTCTACTATCTCTAGGGTCATAGCCACTTCGGCCAGTTTTCCATTCGTTTTAAACTAGTTAGTTGTTTCATGATTCACCTCGGATTTTTAATTCACTCGCCACTCCGGCTAGTTTTCATTTATCACTTATGTACACTTCGCCTAGACATTTACTTGTTCTTGCATCTACTTCGGCAAACTACGTTTCCAAATACCTCGCCTCGTTGCTGGCCACAGCGAGGCAACAGTCACAAAGTTCTCTAAATGGACTCTTAACCACCTTTCCTAGGATGAGGGTGCAAGCTACATCCTCTATGGATTGAAATTAAGCGCGCTATACAAATTTAAGACCAAAAACGTATCGGTCACCACGGTTCGTCATCGCACACGAGACTGTAAGTCGAGACTACATCGCTTTCTCTAAAACCGAAACGAACTCTTAAAACCCGGCAAACGCATTCACCCTCTCGGGAACGCCGATCTATAATCAAACTTCGATGTCGTTTCAGGACATAGACCTCGGCAACAAGAGTTCCAACCTAAGCGCCTCGAACGGCCAAAACTAAATCCAACCTAAAATACCTCCGCACTGAATCTTTTCTAACTCAAACACCTCGGCTCCTACGGTCGAAGGCACAAAGAACGACAATCCCTTAAAAGAATCAACCCCAACTCGGGTTTCAAACTTAAACAGAATCTGTAACAACACGTCCTTTAGTCCAGCTTTCTAGCAATCTTTCGTGACAGTTCAGCCAGAGAAGCAAACGAAAGCCCCCTCGGCTCGGCTCGAAAAAACCAGTCGACAACAATCCGTCCCAGCCAATGCTTCCTCAAAAAAATTCATTAATAAACCTTCAAAGGCAAAGACAACATTTCTAAAAACGACTAAGGGGAAAGATGAAGGTAACCGCTACTAAATCAATCCACCAATAAAATCAATAGTCAAGTGGATAAAGCCGTCCAAACACCAATTACATAAGAGTTCGAAAAAATGGATAAAAGCATAAAAGTCTTTAGTACAAAAACACATGAAGTAAAAGATGAGGGAAGGAAGAGTGAGTTAAGCCGCGGACTGCGTTTCCCGCTCAGAAAGGAGGTTCGCAAGGGCCGGTGTACCCGCATTTGATCCGGTTGGATCAACAACGCCCAGGTTAGCCGCTGTTTCCTCGATCGGTTCGTTACCTAGACAGGAGTCTACAGAATCCGGCGACGCAGGTGAGAAGACGAGCTCACCTTGGATCTCAGAAGCAATGCGATCATACGCCTCGTCATCGACGTATTCGTGCTCCCAATCTTTTAGCTTCGCCTCCTCGTCATCAAGTGTTGGGCCATCCGGTTTCCTCAGGTCGTTGATCATAGCAAGATTGCCCTTGATCTGCCCCAGCTCGTTCTCGTCGTTTTTAGCCTTCTCGAGTTTGGCTAGACCTTCTTCTACCTTGGCGAGGCGTTCCTAAAACTTAGCCGTCAGTTCTCGCCTCGTTTCCTTCTTCGCACGCTTGACCTTACCATCAAACAAGGCATCCTTGGCCTCGATATGCCTCTTAAGCAACGCCAGCTCGGTGCTTTTGGCTCTCCTGGCCTTCTCGAGGCGAATGACCGAGGTGGAAACCTTGTCGACATCGGTACGAAGAACTATCTTCTCCTCTTCCAGCCTTGACACCCTGGTCATCGCCTCGTCCAGCTTCCCCTTCGCCGCCGCGGTCTCGTTCCGAGCCTCGTCCAGGTGACGTTCGACCTTGGACAGGTCCGCCTCGTACTCAGCCATCAACTCGTTGATGGCCGCTACAAACTGCAAAGAATAGTACGCGTTAAACACTTAGTCAAAATTTGATAAAATAAGGTGAGTAAACAGAACATACCTTGGTGCCGCGCTGTGCCATAAGACCTTGGTCTCCTCAACTTCTCATGAGGAGGAAGACGCGTGTTAGCATTGTTGACACGCGAGAACATCACCGCTGAGGCGTCTGGATCGTCGACAACCAACTTGCGAGAAGCGGGATCATCAGACACTGGCTTGCGCTTCTTCTTAGGCGGCTCGTCTTTTTGAACAGCCACGCCTTGCCCTTTATTAGCGGCCGAACGTTTTCGACCAGAATCGTGCTTTTGAAGATGTGAAGCCGGAGGCCTGGATAACTTCGGAAGAGCCAGAATATCCGAGCTGGAAGGAGTTTTACTCCGCGCCGCGGAGTCGTCTTTGAGCGCCTCGGGAATGATTTCACTCGGTTCCACCTCGGGCGCCACTTCTTTCTCGTTCACCTCGGCAACGTTCACCCCCACAGCTCGGGTCGCGCCCTCATCATCACGGCTCGGCGGAACGTGTTGAGGGACAGCCTCGGCCCCCGTTTGAGCAGCCTCAATGGCTCGTCTCGCAGCTTCTTCTTCTTCGCGCCTCTTTTTATCTCTAAGAGTAATGATCACCATTTTCTCCCTTGTGTCTCTTGAGGAATTTTAAGACGAAGAGCTAACAGGAACTCCAGCAAAAACTTGCGCTCTTTTCACTCTCTCAAACGTAAAATGCTTCCTCCAATTAACTCTTCGGGCCGCGAGAGAATCTCAAACAACAAAGAGGTCGTCGGGAATTGGCGGAAGAATACTCCGAACTGCAAAAACAACACGAAAACAACCAGCTCAGTAAGGGGAGATTATATAATAACAGTTCCGAGCAGAGACAAAGCTTCGGATCGGCTACCAAGTGGTCCCCAAGCGGTCTTGGTTTTTTGAACGTAATCCTCGCCGACTGACGCCTCGTTCACCAGGACATAGAAAAAGCGCTCGGTCCAAAATTGATATTTGCTTGGAAAACCACCTATGATCCGGCGATTGGGCTTGTTAGAAATATAAAATCTATCTACCTTTGGAGCTTTTCTGATCTCCAACAAGTTTAACAGGTGATTCAATTCAATGTCAAGCCTGCATTCAAAGCTTCGAACTAGAATGCCGATCATGTGTCGCAGACCCCTCGGCATAATCTGCCAGATCAAGATCCCATGTTTCCAGAGGTACTCAAGGATAACTCCGGGGATCGGAAACCAGAGAAAACAAAGCTCAAAGAACGCCTCGTACAGAGTAAAGTGGTTCTCAGGGGGTTTGTCGGCTCGGTCATTCTTTTCTGGCAGGATAAATTCTACTGCCTCGGATATCCTGAAGCGACATCTCAACGCCTCGAGTGAGTCTGGGGAGGAGAGCGTGGAGCCGGGCGGGTCAGGTTTTTGTCTTTTCACTCGTTTTGTTTCCCTTGCCCGGACGAAAAAGCACCTCGGGATGCCATGAGACGTTCTAATTCAAGCCTCGCCTCGAATAGATCAAAGGGAAAAGCTTCCTCTTCAGCTTTCACTGCGGCTAAATTTCCATCTTCGTTATAAGCGGGGCCCTGAGGACGGCTCGTCGAAACCGACGGCTCGTTGTTTGGAGAGCGAGCACCTGATGGACTTGAGCGATTCGATGCCTTGTCGTTTTCGGATGAACGGTTGGAAGGGCTCTGATATGTCTATATTTTACATCATTTAGATTGCATTATAGAGTCCTCATCATGTGTTTTCTCATGTAAATTGAGTCTTTAGGCGTTAAAATAGGACTTAGGGCTTGCATTAGGTCCCAAAGAGTTTTGCATGTTTTGAAGTCTTTATCAGGAGCTTTGGATACCAATTGGAGCCTAAGAAGAGGAACAGAAAAGAAAACGGTGAAGAAAAGGGTCAAAAATGGTGAAAACCGCTTGGAGGAATTTCTCGGCCAAATCTCGTACCGGCTGGTCGGAAACCTCGGCCAAAATGTTTACCGTACGCTCATTACCGGCCAAAAACCTTACCGATCGGCCAGAATCGAGTATCGAGTGCAAAAATACCATGGGACAAGTTTTTGACCGAGGCAAGAATTTTTACGACCAAAAAGCTTACCGCGGTACACAGCCCTCAGCCATTTTTCTTACCGCGGGAAGGTTTTTACGACCAAAAGTTGTCCTTGCCCGCGCAATTCAGAGATCAGCAATCCGGGGAACCTTCCGGTCCGAATCAGTTGGCGGGGTCTTCACCAAAGTTGGAGATAATCAAGAAAAGATTCCAGAACAGTTAGAATCATCCAATTCGGACCAGTGGAGAGAAAGATATGGCTTCCGGAGCATTCACCAGCATTGCGCATACCCGAGAACTGAACGGCGAACTTCAAAGATCATGGCGGACGGAGCCCCTCCAGACCGAACCAGCTTACTCGGTCTTCACCAAAGTTCGAGATCCATGGAAGATCTTCTCAGAGCATTTGGAATCGCTCAATTCGGAGCAATTGTTTGGAAGATAGGGTCTCCGGAGTTCACATCGGTCTAAAAGTCTATTTTCCGGTGATTTCAATGCGGCGCAAAGATGTTAAATCCAGGAAGCCTTCCACTCCCCAAGCTCCGATGGTTTCTTCACCAAAGTTCGATCTTATTGAGTCATCTTGACTGTGGAACTGATCCCAGAGCAATTGGAGTCGTGTGCTGAAAGTTACTGCTTCCGGAAGGTGACAGGG